AGATGAAAACAACACTGAGATTCCACCTCACCCCAGAAGGAATGGCTGCTATCAAGAAATCAACCAATAACAAATGCTGGCGGGGTTGTGGGGAAAAAGGAACCCTTCTCCATTGTTGGTGGGAGTGCAGACTGGTGCAACCACCGTGGAAGTCAGTACAGAGATACCTCAAAAAAGTAGGACTAGAGTTCCCATTTGACCCAGGTATTCCCCTGCTGGGTATCTTCCCCAAAGAATTAAAAGAATCACCACAGTGATATATGTGCACCCATGTTCACAGCTTGTAGTAGCTAAAGCTTGGAAGCAGCCCAAGTGCTCATCAACTGGAAACTGGATAAAGAAAATGTGGTTTTTCTTATAAAATGGAGTACTACTCAGCCATAGAGAACGAAAAACTAGAGTTATTTTTAGCTAAATGGATGCATATCGAGGCCATACTCTTAAGTGAAATAAATAGGACACACATGTAAATACTGACTAGTTTCTCTAGTGTGAGAAACTGACAGTGTAAACAAGAGTTAAAATGATTAAAATGAATAATTGATAATTTGAAATAGGAACAAAGGTCCAAAGATGAAAGAGTGAAGGGAGGGGAAGGGAAAAGGAAAAGAGGGAAAGGAAAAACTATGAGTAAAGAAAAAAAAATGGAAATGAAATCTATGTAAATAGGGAAGGGCGGAGGGGGTGAAGGGCACAGAGGTAATGGGGAAAAAAAATAGGAACTAAGATACATCATGTACAGGTACAAGCACCCAATGATAAATGTAAACGAACTGTATACCTAAAATGTACCAATAAAATGTACCAATAAAATTAATTAACAACAACAACAACAAAAAAGTAGTTCTCTAGATTACTGCTTGTGACTCCAGGTAAAAGAAGTCCACACTCAAGCCTCTTCTCCACACTCTGCCACTTATGTTAAGTCCTTTTCCTTTGTACTAGAAAATCACATTCTTTCCCTATGGGTCTGTTTTCTTCCATCAAATCCTCCCAGCCCAACTCTCCTTTCTGGTCATAACTTTATTTCAGTCTTACAACTATCCTAACCCTTACATGCTCATCTTCCACTAACTAGATGGTTCCCAAATTTCCAAGGGCAGAGTTCCAGATGTCCCCCTCTCTGCTTTGTAAGAACTTCCCAATTTCCAACCAAGAAGAGCACCAAACTTTTTACTCCTGAATTCACCATTATTTGCTATTGTTTTCTTAAGATGATCCTTCATTATTCATTCTCTTAGGATTAGTCTTGGTGTTCTTTATTTGGTGAAAGTTTAAGACAGATGCCTGCCAGAAAAAGACCCCTAGAAGACACTGCTCAACATCCCTGAAGCAGATAGCTCTATCCTCCCAGGGTGCAATCTTTTAATAGCTAGGAAGAGCATACAGTACTTACTCAGAGAGACCACTATTCCACAGTTTTCCTGCATGACATATTCTCCATAAAAGTCTGTCTGAGAGGGGTCTAGGCTCCGCCACTCCTCCTGGGAGAAGCACAATGATACATCCTTGATGGTTACCAGGCCCTGAAACAAAATATAGAATCATCTGTCAGCAGCCGTTCCTTACAGAAAATGTGATTGTGGCATAAAAGTTATAAAAAGCCATGGTAGTAGAGCAGAAAGGGTAAGAGAAGATCTAGGAAAATAATTGCCCAGAGATCCCTGGGTAAGGCACACGGTTTTGGTAAAGAGGTATTGAAGAGAGGAATAAAGGTAGATGCTCAAGGAGTGAATGAAGGTAATGTAAGTAGAGGAGCTTCCCTAGTGGGATTATGAGAAAATGGAGGTGCCACAAATTCATCAGTCTCATCTTGCTTGCCTTATTCTTTTTATCGCAGAAATTCTGTACCTCCACTTGGTTTTTCCTTTTCTGTCAACAAAATATGTTATAAATAAAACATTCTTTTTTGCCTCCCCTATCATGCTATATCTTTATCATTTTAGGCAGCACAGGTTGGTAGTTAGGCCTGAATTTGGAGCCAAATAACTCTTAGTTTTGCCACTTACTAACAATGTAACCTTATACAAATGCCTTAATCTCTCTCTGCTCTATTTTATTTTTATAAAATAGGATGTTTGAGTTGTTCCCAGAATTAAATTAGTTAATATACATAAGGCACTTGGAAAACAGCTCACATGGTAAGCACTCAGGGAGGATAGCTGCTACCAATGTTATTATTACTTTCAATGGCTTTCATGATGCCTTCTGAATCTAGACCTCTTTTACTTCTTGGGCACTACTCCTGCTTATACCTTTCTTTCCTTCTTTTCCCCAAATGCCCCATTATCTATCCAATCATGTTCACTTTCTAGTCTTTTAAGATCTTTTCTCTCTCTCTTATTTATTATTATTATTATTTATTTATTTTTTGGTGGTACTGGGGATTGAACCCAGGGCCTTGTGTATGATAGGCAAGTGCTCTATCACTGAGCTGCATCCCCAGCCCAGCCAGATTTATTTCTTAAAGGAAGCTAATTTATTGTTTTTAAAACCACCTGCATATATCACAGCCATCCTTTACAAACCTTAACCTCAAAGATTCTTTTTTTTTTTTCCTTTGGTTATGCCTCCATTTAATATTGCAAGGGTCTCATAGTCCTCTTGGAACAGGATAGAATATGTTCAGTTAGAAGACGAACATACCATCAGTGTTCATGTGAACTAACAAATCAATGGGATGATGCCAAAGCTTTAAAAGGCAATTGTGATGAGACCTTGGGAGAGGCCAAGGGAAGCACAGCCCACCTGTGATCCGGCTGCAAGAAGTGCAGCTGCCATCTCCCAGTCTCCGGTGCTCCCCTCCTGGGGAATTGCAGGAACCCAGGGAGTAGACTGAGCTGGTGAGGGGAGAGAGGAACCATTAGAGATGGACTAATCCACCCTTTGCCAGCAAGCACCTGGGCCCATTTTAAAGGAGCTTAAGAGTCTCATCTTTGCCTATATCTAGCCCACTGGTAAAATTCAAATGCATAAATGTAGGTGAAGAGTCCTTCACTCAAAATGTTCTGTAAGAGTATTGGGTGGCTTTTAGTTAAGACTAGCTGTGGCTGGAATTTATATTACTTAAATGTAATTTTCACTAATAAAGTGCACCTTACTGGGTCTATTCTCTGCCAGTAATCAGTGTCACGATCACTTCCTTCATCTCCCACATTCACTACTACTAATTATGCACTTGCACGCAGAGGGAGTGATTATGCAAAAACAGGAGAAGCTCAGTTATATGGCTTGGAGAATCCAGGACTCATTCTGCATCTGAGAGCAGGGTTCAGGAAGAATGACTGGCTCAGTCCTGGGATTGGGTATGCTGTTCAGTCCATGGCAATGTGGGAATTTTTAACTCTATTGTTTGAACAGAAATAATGGGACTACTCTATGCATTCTGCTTCCCACGTGCTCTGTTGGTTCTCACCCTTCTCCTGAAGGGACTGTGGCTCCTCTTCAAGGCCACAGCAGAGGTGCTCCAGTGGCCCCGGTGCTGTTCTCCGTGGCCCTTCCTCCTGGCTTCCCCTTTGTACCTGGGGCTCTGTCCCATCCAGTTGTATATTCATTGACTCCCATCCTGTCCCCAGGGCTGCTTTCTGTTTTGAAAGCATTTTTTCTGAAAGCCCAAATCGTGACCTGGAATAAATCAGTATCAGCTATGGCCATGAAAATAAAAAGAGGTGATACTCCTGAGAAAGTTATGGAGAACATCCCCAGAGATTAAAGATGAAACTGGATAAGAGAAGCTTAATATAAGATGAATTTTAATAGCTTGATGTTTTCCAATTAACTGAGCCTAAGCCATGCTTCTTGGAGGAACAAAGAAATTGGCATGTGTTACACAGCAATGTCATTTTGGGGACCTCATGATATAAACAGATTATCCCTGAGGGCTAGAAGAACATCATATAAAAAAGAGCAATCTTGGAAATTCATAAGCTATCTATTTTGTCTCAACCACTAAAAGTAGAGAAGCATAAGCAATCTGGAAACATACTGGAACATACATAGACCTGCAATCAACAAAGATAGGTATAATCACACATAAGATTTTCTGCTATCACATCCTCATCAATTAGTTTAGAATGATATAATTCCAAAGGTAGAAGTCCCAGCCAAGGGAGTATGTACACATTATGAACACACACCTCTTTCTGAGGCTGAACCAAATGGTGTTTCACTTAGGATAAGCTTCAACAGAGAGACACATGACCTGTCACTCTCCTGTACTAAATATGATAGACTGATAGCTTGGGAAGCAGGTGTAAGACTGACAAAACCCTAAAAGATAAAAGAAATTGTTGGTCAGTGAAAAGCTGAAGTTTAATTGAGAAAAGTAAAAAATAATGGAAAAAATGTGGACTGGGGCTGCTAACATGAACATGACAGCCCTGAGATTTAAGATACAAGAATAAACCCATTTGTTTGGCAAGTCCTAGTCTTGTCTCATTAGAAAAACACATTCAATTTTAAAGAAGGGTATGGAGAGGTCAGTGTGTGTTCATTAGAAGAGAAATTAAGGTGAAGAAAGGGATAAGGCCAAGTCTGATGGCACACACCTATAATCGCAGCACTCTGGGAGGAGGAGGCAGGAAGATTGCAAGTTTAAGGCCAAATTGGGCAATTTAGTGATTTAGCAAGACTTGGTTTCAAAAATAAATAAATAAACAGGGCTGGGAATCTACTCAGTGCAAAGGCTCTGGGTTCAATTCCTAGCAAAGAAATAATAGGCTGATGAATGGAACTACCAATGAATAAAAAGAGAGGTGTTCTCTATCTCTGTGTAGATTAAGGGGTGGGTCTTGATTGTAAGAGAACAGATTCAGGTTAGATTTTTAAAATTCTGAATAATACTACAGTGAATAAGAACAGGTGGTGGGCCCTTCTTTGCTTCACACATTTTAAGAACAGGATAAATCCCAGTTGAGAAATAGTCAATTGTAAGACTGCAGAATCCCTTTCTAGTTTGTGATTCTTATTCACTACCCATGTAGTAAGAGCCAGTAAAAAGCTCCAAAGAACAGGTGAGAACCTTGGTTAAAATCCTGTTTCAAACATTTCCATTTACTAATGTTCTCAAGGACCCAGAAGACAGGATAGGTAATGAAAGATGTCAATGCAGTTATTTCCTTGCCTATTTTTCTTCAATAAAAGAAACAAGTGGGAATCCTAAGCCCAGTGTACAGGAAAAACAAACTCCCCTATCATCTCAGAGGTCCAAAGATGGCTTGGGGCCTTATGGGAGCATCCTAGGCTGATTCCCAGCTAAGGTTTTTGTTTTAGAGTCTTCTCATGAGAAAGGAAAATTCCCGACAAAGCAATAAAATGAAACTTCCACTTAAGCTTTGTGTTCCGAATTTCAGTTTCTGCATTTTCACTTTTTACACATAAGACACCAATTTCCTTCGTCATCCTAAGTCTTACTCATTCTCTTGGCAAATTCACTCCCAAGGGTTTACTTCTAGCTAAGTATCTGGACACCTGTCTCAAACCCATTTCTTCGTTTCTTCTAGTAGAAGATCCATTGATGGGAATCCTCTTTCTGCTGAGCCCACTGAGCCAGGTGTGAGTCTCTGCAGACCCCGACAGAAAACCTGGGGAAGTGCTGGCAAAAGTCTAGCAAAGGAAGGGGTGGGTACCTGTCCCCAGACTGTATTTCCTAAGATGTTTATGGCAGAACCAGCACCAGGGCTGTTAAGGAGCAGCCCTAACTTGGTTTCTCCTGATTCCAGAATAATCCCATGCCTGCCAGCGCCTGGGTACTTGGCTCTCGTTCCCCTCCTTTCCTCACATAAGTGGGTGGCAAGGCATCTGCAGAGAGAAGTTTTTGTAACGAGTGCTGCTGGACAGCAAACAGGGCCCTGTTATCAAAAAGAGTGGTCCAAGGGCACAGGGATGAACCCAGCCGGCTGTCAGAAAATCCTGGCCCCAGCCGCAGGTGGGGCTTGGGCGGGACCAGAGCCTGCTGAGGAGTAAGGTTGCTTCTTCCCTCCGTCTCTTCACTGTGTCCCTGGAGAGGGTCAGATTTCAGAGAATCCGAGCAAGGCAGAACTGGATCGGGGAAAGTGAGGTCAGAAAACAGGTTTCCCTCAAGCTGGGGCTTGAACAAGTGAAGAGAAAGGGTTCCGTGGCGGGGTAACCTGCGTGCGACTGACAGCGGCGGGAGCCCGCGGGCCTGACAGCGACGAGGGGAACTAGCGACAGGGCGAGCGGATGGCACGGAACGTCACTGGGCCCCCGGGGAAAAGCAGCGGCCGGAGGCCTCCGCGTTCCTCTCCCGCCCCCTTGGGTGGCCGAGCCCCCCCAGCCGCCCCCCAGAAGCCAGGCTTCTCCCCCTCCGGCCGCAGCACCCTCCGACCGGGCCCCACTCACCCCGGGTCGGTCTGGCCCGCGGCCCGGTACCTCCCTCCCCGGCGCCGCCTGCCCCTCCCCTCCGCCGTCAGCTGGCGTTCCCGGGCCGCCGGCAGCCCAGCGAGTGGCGGGCGCGGGCGGGGCGGGACGGGCACAGGAAACCCCGCCCACTTCCGGAGCTCGGTGGGGCGTGGGGCGTGGGGCGTGGGGCGTGGGGCGCGGGGCGGGGCGGGGCGGGGCCGGGGCACCGGGACCAAGCAAGCTGCGCTGAAATGCTGCGGCACCGGGCGGCGGAACCCGGCGTCACCGCCTTACTGGTCGCTCGCCGAGCTTTCCCCCGGTGGACTCTTTTCCATCCTGGCCTCCGAGCCATCCACGGAGCCTCCGCAATCGCTTCAGTAATTAGCTCTAATTTAAAAACTGCGCGTTGGAGGCCGGAACAAGGTTGCGAGTGCGATTTTTCAGGACAAGTCTGGAATTCCTCAAGGAGCTGACCCTACAGGTTTCAAGATCGTCAGGATAAAGGGCCTGAGAGAGCCTTGAGGAGTCCGTTCTGAGTGGGGGATCCTTCGTTCAGTTGACTTCACCAAGATGGTGCAGTATGAACTAGGCCTTCGGCTGTGTTGCCCACCAGTCACGCGGGGCATCTGAGCTCTTGAAATGGGACTGGTATGACTAGAGTTGTGTTGTAAGTGTGCATGTTAGGTTTAAAGACTTGATTTTTTAAAAAATGTGAAATAGCTCATGAGTGATATATGGGATACATTGGGTTAAATATATTATTGAAATTAATTTCACCTATTTTTAGCTTTGTTAATGTTTCTACTATAAATTCCTAAATTACAAATGCGGCTTGCCTTAAATTCCTACTGCACAATTCTTCCTTGAAGCATTACGACAGATTTGACCGGAAAAGATCAGAAGGGCCTAAGAAACAGAATAAACATATCACTGTTAGAATCTGTTTATAACTGATAAATCACATTCATTTTTTCATCCTCACAATAATTGTGTAAAATATTATGTTATAGTCTAAAAAATGTCTCGCTTAAGGTTTTATGTGACAATCATTTCTTTAATATGTAGTTCTCTCCTGCTTTATGACATACATTGTAAGTAACAGATGGGAATCAAAGAAAGAACTCTGGAAGCGCATGTCAACAAATATTTGCAATGAAATGTAATAGATGTTGAAACAGAGAAATATGCTCTACACTTGGAGCAGAGAAGTGCCTGTGTGTATGAGGGATGTCAGAGAAGGTGTCACAGAAATTCTGAGGTAGAAGAATAGGCTCCATAATGAGAAGGAGGAGAATGAGCTACACAAACAGTTGAAGAAGGCATAGAACATATTCTAGGAGCAGATCATGGGATATGTGGGGAGGAATGGTAGAGCCAGGATTCATATCCTAGCTTTTGGAACTAAATGTAAGGTTCTTTTCACTTATGCTATCACTGGTGATAAATACAATGTGTTAATTAGGGCTGGGTAACAATACCAGTATTTCAGTAGTTTAACTCCACAAAGGTTTATGTCATTCAAGTCACAGAGTATTTTGGATTGACTGGGCTTGGGTGGAGATATCTGTTCCTTGCATTCGTGGAAGAACTAGGCTCCTTCCATCGAGAGGATCCCATGGCCTTAGAAGACTGCAGTTCCATCTATAGGGCATCTATAAATAGGGAAAGAGATCTGTGGCTAAATTGTCCACAATGGTAGGAGCCAATCCTGGAAGTAATTTTTACCATATACCGTTAGCCAGAATGCATGTGCATGGTCACATGGTGCCACCTAACTATAGGATGGCTGGAAAATAAATTGTGCTTAGTAGAAAAGGAAACAAGAGTTTAATAAACACTCATAACTGCATAAATCTGGTATTACTAAATATTATAACAACCTAGTCTTTCTTATTTGGAAAACAAACCAGTATGAGAGAATATCTTAAAATAGAAAAGAAAAGAGATAAAGTAGGCTTTGACTCAATGACAAAATAGTAGGTCATAAATAGTTAATAAGCATCTACTTTATGCCGGGACATTGTCTTAAACATCCCAGGGAGTAAATGTAAAATACCATTACATTATGCTTTGATGTATATCTCTTTATTAAGTATAGACATTATCTCTGCATGAGTTCAGAGGCAATAAGTGAGCAAAGAGGCAAAATAGAAAATTGAGCCCTACTTTGATTTTTAATCGGGTGTTCATGTCTCCAGTTTGGTACTTGCCTTTCATGAAAGTCCAAACTTCTATGCAATATTACAAAGTGGGATAATTATATGAGAACATTAGGCATATCTTTCCTTTAAAACTTTCTAGTACAAGAGTTTCAGGATCAACTTTGGAGGTAAAATGTAAGAAGAACACCCCAGATTGCATTGGAAGGCAGAAATGGACGTGCTATGTAATGAAAATCTCACAGATGGAAGTGTATCTGCCTAGAGTAGAGAAGAAATGAAATGGGGCAAAATGATAAAAAAAAAAAAAAGGTCAAGGATTTTTTACTTGCTATGCAAGGTGATAGTTACTATTTTTAGGTTTACAAGGAAGTGATATAGCTAGTATTTGTTTGTTTTGTTTTGTTTTTTGAGACAAGGTCTTGTTTATAGCCGAGGCTGACCTCAAACTCATGGTGATCCTCCTGCCTCAGCTACATAGTATTTTAAATTACATCATTAGAAGAAAACTTGTTGGTCCTGGGCTGTCTTGTTGATGAAGCTCTGATAACACAATGGAATGAATTGGGCCCACAGTTGAATTCTAATTTGTGGAATATAGACTTCCTTTAGACATATGAATGTTCTTCATGGACATGAAGGAAAGGTCTCATACATTCAGGGTCCCAAGTTCCATATAAAATTTGAAAATATCTTAAGAGATACTGTCTTTTTTTTTTTTTTTGACACAAGATCTCGTTATGTAGTTCAGGCTGGCCTCAAACCATGGTGATCCTCCTGCCTCTGCCTCCTTAGTGCTGGGATTACAGCCATACACCACCATGCCCACCTGAGATATTGTCTTTTGTATTTCAGCTTGGCTCCTTCATTTCTGAATTCTTGTTCAACTTATATAAGAGGGTATAAGTCAAGTGTACACCAATTTAGGAAAGTATTATTCAAGTTCTTTTATTAGTTGATTATAATAAATTACAGTCTAGCTTATAAATGTCCATTCAGCCATAATGAAATCATGCAATCAGTTGGAAATTAGAACCTAACCACAATTTATGGTATTGCCTTTTATTGGATCCAAAGTTTTGAAGCTTGTGTCAGAGATGAATTTTCTTCCAGCAGGGCAGTGAAGACAGTTGTTTCCTCTATGTCCACAGCTATAAAGGAAAGAACAGGGCTAAAGGAAATCTTGGGTTAAGACTTCTCTAAAGGGGAAAAGGAAAGGCTCTGTAGTCATTGATAACTAAATATAGCTGACATTTGTAAGGCACTTTATAGTTTATAGAGTAAACTGGGTATGTGATCTTCATAACTCAAGGAAGTGAATTATTTTTATTTCCAGTTTACTGTCAAGAAAAAAATGGCTGAGATATTTAAAATTCTAGGCCTACCATTATTTATTTATTTAATTTTGGGAAGATTCACCTGTATTAGCCTCAGTTCTCTTAACTATACAGTGAATGTCATTACTTTATTGGGTAGAAGTGAGGGATAAGAGATACAATGAAAATCAGTAATACATTGGAATAATTCAACAAATGATAAAATACACAGATTGAAGCTGGATAACAAAGGGAAAGACTTTAGTAGTATGACGGACAATAGAAAGAATGAAAATAAAATTTATTTCTAAATAAAACAAAATTTATTTGGGTTCCAGAACTGGTTGGAATGGAATGAGCTGGTGGTATAGGGGGCAAAGGGAGTGCTTGAACTGGGGGTTATGGAGGGGCTGCAGTTGTCGGTAGTAAGTAGGAACAGAGTATGACTTAGGGATGTTCATGGCCGAGGAGGTGGACAAGATCATTTGAGAGAAAGACAATGGCTGAGAGGCTAGGATGTTAACTATGGTTTGAACGTATATCCCAAATGTTTATGGATTGGAAACTTAATCCCCAAATTTATAGGTTAGTGATATTTGTAGACAAGTCCTTTGGGAGGTAATTTGGATTAGATGAGGCCATGAGAAGGAAGCCCCCTGGTGCCATGCTCTTGGACTTCCCAGCCTTTAGGACCATAAGCCAAATAAATTTCTATTTTGTATAAATTACCCAACTTATGTATTTCATTAGACCAATAGAAAATGGACTAACACATGAAAGCAGCACCAAGAAAGGAGTTGCTCCTATACAAATACCTCAGAATGTGGGAGTGGCTTGGAACTCAGTAATTGGTAGAGGCTGGACCAGTTTAGAATTGAATGTTAGAAAAGCATGTATTTCTTTTTTTTATTATTCTTAAGTTCTTTTATTGGTACATTTTAGGGATACAGTACATTTACATTTGTCATTGGGTGCTTGTACCTGTACGTGATGTATCTTGGTTCTTATTTTTTCCCCATTATCTATGCAACCCTCACCCCCTCCACCCTTCCCTATTTACATAGACTTTGTTTCCATTTTTTTTCTTTTCTCATAATTTTTCCTTTCCCTTCTTTCCTTTCTCATTCCCCTTCCACCTTCCCTACCCCTTTGGAACTTTCTTTCCTATTTCAAATGATCAGTTATTCATTTTAATCCTTATTTACACTTTCATTTTCTCACACTAGAGAAACTATTTGGTATTTACACGTGTGCCCTATTTATTTCACTTAAGAATATGGCCTCAATATGCATCCATTGAGCTATAAATGTCACTAGTTTCTCATTCTTTGTGGATGAGTAGTACTCCATTTTATTAAAAAACCACATCTTTATCCAGTTTCCAGTTGATGGGCAATTGGGCTGTTTCCAAGCTTTAGCTATTACAAACTGTGCCTCTATAAACATGGGTGCACATATATCACTGTGGTATGATACTTTTAATTCTTTTGGGAAGATACCCAGCAGGGGAATAGCTGGGTCAAATGATTTTGAATCCATACTGATTTTCACAGTGGTTGCACAAGTCTGCACTCCCACCAACAATGGAGAAGGGTTTCTTTCTCCCCAAACCCCTGCCAGCATTTATTATTGGTTGATTTCTTGATAGCAGCC